AAATTACTTCAAGTTGGGGCAATGAGCAAAAGTATCATGGAGAAGATGGTACCTCACTTGGGTTTTGAAGGGAGGTAGGAATTTCAATATGCAGAGATGGGGCTCAGGGGATGCTAGGCATGCCAGAAAGGCACAACAAAAGGCACAGAAATGGAGAGTTTGACGGGCAGAGAGAAAAATGAGTAATTCAATTTGATTTTAACATGAGGCCAGAAGGGTAAAAGGCAGTATGTCACAATGGAGAAAATGCTGAATTTCAAATCAGAGGATGTGGGTTCAAACTCTAGCTCTGCCCTTGTCACCTGTGTGACTTGAGGCAAGTCACATAATCTCTCTAGGATTCAGTTTCCTCATCAATAAAATGAAGAGCTTAGACTAGAAGACTTTCAAGGTCTCTTTCAGCTCTAAATCTACATCTATGACTCTTGAAGGCCAAGCTAAAGAGTTCATTTGGTAGGTAAGTCAGAAACCAATCGAGATTTTGGGGTGGAAGAGGGATGTGGTCAGAATGAAATACTGTGAAGTGAATGGATTGGAGAGAAAGCAATGTCAGAGCAGATGGGAAGCTTGGGGTAGACCAGAGAGAGGTCATAAGGGGTGAACTAAAGTCATGCCAGTGGAGTAGAAAAGAAAAAAAATGAATTTGAGAGATATTTGGGAGGGGGAATGTAAAGGACTTGACAACATATCCTTTTTTTATTTTTAATTCGCTAAGTAATTTGTGTATTGTTTGCAGATAACAAGTCACAAACTTAAATTACAAATGGAATGATCTCCTAAAGTGACCCCATTTTGTCTCTATTATGCCTGTCATGATTTTGTTTTCGCATCCCTGGCACCACATATCCTCATACTTTCCAGTTTTTAAGTCTATTTTCTGCCCACCTGATATAACTTAGAGAAATCAAGACACATTGCATCTATTTTTCTCCTGTCTCCCTCAGGTCTGTAGTGTTCATAGCAACTGGGTTTCCACAAACACACAATGAGTAACTCTTTCAATGGACACAGATTTAAAGCATCCATTAAGTGCTTGGTGTACTGGGTTTCATCGACAGCTGGGCCCACACAGACTTAGTCAGATGTCTTATGCTTGAATAACTGGAGTGGGGTGTACATGAATGAATTATATGAGAATTTGTGCTAAAATGTTTATTCAAGATAAATAGAACCCAAATTTCAGGTTTTATAAGTAAATGAGGTAAATTTTTAAGTGGGAGATTGGTCACAAAATTCATTTATTATATTATCATTATCCTTGCTCTTATATATTATAATATTTTTCCTAGACCATGCAGGAGCGCAATGTATGCTTAATATATTCTTCCTAAAGCACTGGAGCAAGGAGTCTTAATTTTTGTGTGTATGTGTCATGAACCTTTTTAGCCATCTGGTAAAGAGTATGAACCACTTCTCAGACTTTCTTAAATATATGTCATAAAATTCATAAGATTATAAAGGAAATCATTTATGTTGAAATAATTTTTTTACCCATCCAAGTCCTTAAAACTGCTAAAATCTATCTACAGATTTGGGGGTTTATGGACACATATTAAGAATATTGTATTAGAAAATGAGTTAAATTATTATTTTTTAAAAAACTTCTTGTATTTAAAAAAAATGCTATGCTGGGAAATGTGATGAAAATCAACTAATGTCATTTGTGTAAAAAAAAAAGTTTCACTTTGGATATTTGGGATCAAATACATACCGAAATTAGCATTGATTTATACTTTTGAATATTTCAGATGGAACATATCTCCCCAAATCAGTAAACATTAAGAGCTATTTACTGCCAATCCTATAGATCTTGACTCCCTTTGCAAAATGAGGCCATAATTCTATTGTGAAAAGGGTATGTTGACAATTAGGGAAATGAATGGATTACTGGGAAATAATAATTACAGAATTTTAATTTGATTAATGAAATTTTTTTTAATATGTTCTACATGTTTCCAATCGTTATTACAAATCTCATAAAATGATAGTTATAATGTTATATGAAAGACAAAAATCACACCAGAAGTATTGTTTCTAGTAATTTAATTTCTAGTACTCTAGTAATTTAAAAATTTGGATCATACATTAGACTTTTTATTAATTCTAGCAAAACAGTGATAACTTTTTATCTTGCCTATCTATTAACCATTTTTCAAGGACCTCTATTTTGTTGATGTAATGCTTGCAACATATGTATGCTCAGAATTGTATGTTGTATCCAAGTAGAAAATACATATTTGTTTTGTTTTTATCAGATTTGTGCTTTGGGCAGAGGGGCAACTTGATGTGAAAAGTATGAAAAATCCAGATAAATTTAGATTTAAAATACCTATTTACATTTATATAGTACTTTATGGTTTGCAAATACTTTTATAATTATATTTTAGAAATTTCCTTCTGAAATTAATCATGAAATGTTATTTAAATAAAACAACAAAAGCAAGATATCCTTTAGATATTTTGATTATTTAAGTTAGAATGTTGTACAATGGTGGTCCAATCAGCAATTCAGCTGTGCCACCATTTTCTTCCCATCCTTTGAGAAAATCCCCAAAGGGACGTGATTTGTTTTTATAGGAAGGAGCCAATCTTTAAAATTCAAAAACTGTAAATCAAAACTTTCTAGAATCTAAAATTAGTGATTGTCCACATAAAAAGCTTTAACTAAATCCTAGTCTATCAAGTTAAAAGAAATGAATATGGCCTCTCCTGACCTGTGTTATAACTGGATATCCTGTGTGTGACATGTAAACTAAGATATAATCAGGAAGTTTTTTAGATAACTCCATGATTTAAAATAGCACAAATAAGACATATGCCTATCTTCAACACTATACTCATGGGTATTGGACATCCGTAGTGTATTCAGGAAGTATTAAAGTGAACCAAGGTTAATACAAATTTGTTCTACGGGTTACTATCCACAGCAGAAGCATATTTGAATTTGTGTCTACCTGAGGAGTTTGCATTTTAAAATTCAGAATTTTCTAAAAATAGTATGATGAACATATGACTTATGTTGAGAGGAGGGCCCTAATTCTAAATGTTGTTTCTCAGAAAGATGATTATGTTCAGTTTACATTCTCAACCTCACAGCTCCCACATTTCTACAGAACCACTATAGTAAAAGCATTTTCTCAGGCTCTTTCTATACAGATATTAGGATCAAGAGAACAATAGTTTAATGACCAGAAGAGGCCTCAGAGAAGGGGTTCTTAATTTGGGATCCATGGGTTTGTAAATAGATTTGAAGCAGTTCCTGAACTTGAATGGGGGAATATTACATCTGCATTTCAATATAATTAGTTTCCTTTGCAACCTTACTCATTTATACATTCTATACATTTAAAACTATTCTGAGAAGGGGCCTCTAGGCTTTATCAGACTGCTATAAGGGTCAATGACACAAAGAAAGGCCAAGAACTTCTGCATTAATGGTCATCCAAATCAACCACACCATTTTTTCAGATGAGGAAACTGAGTCACAGAGACGTTGAATGACTTACCCAAAGGTCACAAACATAGTAAGTGGTAAAGTCAGGATCTGAGCCAAGGTCCTCCAAGTTCTAATTTACTTTCCATGTTACTTGGGTGCTATAAAATAGACTATTTCAAACTAGAAATATGATCTTTTTCTTGGTTTTAAGAAAGAAAAATAAATTGGGGAAAGTCTATCTTTTAAAGAACACATTCCTTACACTTTGCGTTTCTTAAAAATTCCATAACTATCTGCTTTTTCTCTTTCATCTGGTTTCTTGTATTCATTCATTCCTGCCCAATCTTTGTGAAAGCCTTCACCATTTCCAAGTACCTGTTTCTGCCACTAAATTAAGTGGTTTTAACCCCTGCTTTCACCATCTTCAAGTACCTGTTTCTGCCACTAAATTAAGTGGTTTTAGAATGCCCTGTCTTTTTTTCTTCCTAAACCAGTGGCTCTTACTAGGTCACTCTGGCACTTCACAACATACTAACCAGCCCTTTCCCTGGCCTGACAAATCGCTGGCAAGGAATGATCAGGCCCTGGACATTCCTGCTAGGGTAACAGGTGCTCATCAGTTTCTTAAGTTGCTTTCCTCTCCCCTGAGGTGGTGTTATTTCCGGTACATTTGAATGGCCCAGAAAAAACTTGGGCCATCTCCGATCTGACTCTGCCAAATCCTGTCTGAAAAAGTATTCTTAACTAAGTTTTTTTTTTTAAAGCTCTTAATGTTTAATATTAATTATGGTTTATCTGTTTCACAAACTGCAGCCCTATCTGAATATACAACTAAACTGGAGGGAAAATAATTTTTGAATTAGAAACTACAGAAGATGAGTGCTTAAGGAAAGGGTTCATCAAACTCTTAGGACTGGTTTAAAGAACAAAGATAATATTTGTAAAGTGCTTAACATAGTGCGTGACACCTGATAAATGTTTGTTCCCTTCACTAGAAGAGGCCTCAGAGGTAAAAGAATCCAACCACTTCTTTTTATAGATGAACAAACTGAGATTTGGATGGGTTACGTGATTCGTCTAGGGTCCCAGAGCTAGTAAGTGCTTGAGGCAGAATTCAGACTACGGTCTTCCTGGCTTTTAAGTCCAGCTAGTTCTGTATCCATATACCATGGTTAACCATACATAGAAAGAAACAAACAAAAACTCCTCTCTTACCACTTTCAACCACGCTGAAGTTTGGCTCATACACTCAAGAATGATTTCAACAACAGGGGGTCTACCTGCTTCAGCTTACCTTGGCAATCTAAGAGAGCTAAGTATTCTGTGAGCAGTCTTTTTGCTGGGGAAAAAAGACACCATGCCAGCCAAATGCAAAGAGACCAGGTATGCTTATTTATACAGTTTCCCTCCCTTACCCTTTTTGCCTGCCCTCCCACCTACGCAGCCCCCAAGAATGACTGAACACCCACAGAGTGTTAATGAACTGCAGCTGTGACCCCCCCCCCCCCCACAGACACACACACACACTCTGACTATGCAAGAAGATGAGTTTGTTCAAACCAACCTTTTGGAAGTTTCTCGGCCAGGCTAAAGGCAGCCAGGGCAAGGATGTGTACGAGTGGAATGTTGACTAGCTCTCTCATGGTTATAATCCAAGATGGGGGGGGGAGGGGAGAAGAAATCTCTGTCCGAGCAAAGATAGGAAAATGTCCCCCCCCCAGGTTACATTTTAAAGCTTGGTTTGTTACCAAGGGTCTCCTCCTACGGACTGTCTGTGCTCCAAGCTCCGCAGGGGCTAAGTATAATCAGGAATTCTCAGACTTGGCTGCGTGATGGACACGGCCAGCTGGTGGGCATCCACTTAGGTCAGTATGCAAACGTGGGTCTGGAGAAACAAGAGATTGCAAATCCCTTTAGAATCCCTTTTAAGAAATGTCAGGGGATACATTGCCAGATGCCTTTCCCAAACAATAACTTAACCTTAGTGGTACATTTTTTATTGATCTTTCAAATCAGCTTATGCAAATACATCTAGATGGCAATACTCTTTATCTGAGTAGTTTGCAATCCCTCCCACATCTTCCTTCAATTATCCCCACCTTCTATCTTATCCTTACTACATACTTTCCTTTTGATTTCTCTCCTCCTAGCTCTTAGCTCAAGGTTCCTTTTAGCTGCTAACCAATCCAACAGCCCTCCCCACTTAAAACCAATTCACTTGCAAGTCATGGCATCATCTTCCTGATGTCATGGTCCTCTTCCAGAATGAAGGACAACAGACACACACACATACACACACAGAGAGCCGCACCAACCCTCCTGGCTCCTTTTTTATTGTCTCAAACCATTTCCCTATGCCTTTCTCTTCTCCTTTTTCTCTTTCTCAATGCTTCTCCTTCCCTTTTCATTTTGCTTCACCTCTTTATTTCCTCCTCTTCTTCATCTCTGCTTTTCCCAACTTTTTACTCCTCCTACTTTACCCCTTCATGTCTATCCTTTGAATGTCCTCCAATTCTGATTTTAATCCTCTCCTTTTATCAGTTTGCTATTATCAGCTTAACCTTTCTTTAACTGAGAATTCATGAATGATGCTACTGTTTCTCAATTTGTCTTTCCATCTCCCAGTCTGAGTTTGGGCTTCCCCTGAATTCCCAGACCATTCCCAGCATCTTTCCATTTACTTTTGAAATTATCCTATCTTTCTTACGTTTGTTATATATTTCCCTTTTCCTAACTCCACTGATTTCTATCTTCTTTAGATAAGAATTTGAAAATCATCTGTCGGTGACATTTTTCATAAAATTCATCAACAGAGTTAATTTAGCTAACTTTTTTTGCCTCTCACAAGCTGTGTAAGCCTTTGAAGACAAAGGCAAAATATCGAGTTCCATTCGTTGGTCAAGAGGTACAACTTCCTAGATCATTTCCCAGGATCACAGCTTTAAAACTCTACGGGACCTCAGGCCATTTAGTCCAATGTCATTTTAGATTTGAGGAAATTGAGAACTTCTGTGTCCTGGCTTCCCTGGCTCCCTTTAAGATTCAACTCAAATGTCACTGTCTGCAAGGGACCTTTCCCAGTTTCCTGCCCCCCACCTATATCACACACATTCTGCTCATGCCTTCCTTCTAGATGACCTCCCATCTACACAGTGTGCATGTTGTACGATTGTTTACATATTGTGTCCCACCTCAGAATGTGAGCTCCTTAAAGGCACCAACCGCATTAACAGGAAGCACTTATTTGCTTATTGACTGACTGAATAACTGACTGAATGACTGAAAAAAGAGACTGTGAACCTGAATTTACTGTCCAGTCTTATCTTCTGTTGCTTCCTCATACTAACTTCTTGTTCTAATCGGATGGTGTCTTTATTATTTTCCCCACATTATGCATAGTTTCACTCCTCTTCACTGACCCATAGTCTGCTTATCCCTCAAGGGACAGTTCCAGTTCCACCTAATTCATTCAACGAACATTTATTGAAAAAAATTAAGTGTTAATACACAATACAAAATGTGTATTATGTCCCTACTGTGCCGGGGACCATGAGACAAAGATATGCAGAACTAGCCCCTGACCTCAAGAGGAAGCTTGTCAATACCTCTTTAAGGCCCCTTTAGCCCACCTTGTTGTCTTCCTTTTGTACTTATTTTCTGTAAAACACAATACCTTATTTTAGGACATAGATAACAGTATTAATCCTTATATAATTACATATAACATCCTGATATAATATATCATGATATAAAATGATATGTATTGATGATAGGATTACATGACATAATATATTAATTAATATGACATAGTACATCATCAAATTATAATATGTTCTCTGGGTACACAATTTAGCACTTTGTTTTCTCAGTTTCATCCATTAAAGTCTTACTCTGTAGGCTTTATCATTGTGTTAAGGCGACTCAGTCTTCTCAAAGGATAGGCTCATGGAGGGCACCCTCTGACTGCGAGCTAGAAAGGCTTCAATGATGACATAATCTGGCAATTGACTATGTTCAGAGGACTAGGCTGTTTTTTGGTTTGTTAAATATCAGAATTACTGTACTAGTTATAGACGTCATGGAGCTTAGAGCTAGAAAGGACTGTGGAGATTATGCAATCCAATTCCCTCAAGTTATAAATGAGGAAACTGAGGCCCAGAGAAATGAGGTGACTTTCCCAGGGCCACAAAGTTATTACATGACTGAATTGAGAGTCACACCTAGGTCCTCAGACTCCCAAACCCAGTGTTCTTCAAGAGTAACAAGAAAAGGAAACAAAGGTCTATAATAATATACACAAGCACATTTCTGCTCCTGCTCCTGCCACTCCTACTTTTCCTCCAATTCCCTTGGTGTAGACCATCCTGGTGGAGCTGAGAAGACTCCTCCTCCCCCAACTTGCTTTGGCCTACAAGAAACCTAAGGAAGGAGTCAAGACTGAAAACAACAGCCACATTAATTTGAAGGTGGCAAGGCAGGGAGTTTTGGTGGTTCAATTTAAGATTAAGATTGCGCCACTTAGTAAACTAATGAAAATCTATTGTGAACAACAATGTTTGTCAATGAGGCAAATTAGATTCTGATCTGATGGGCAGCCAATCAAAGTTGGAACTGGAGGCTGAAGATACAATTGATGTATTCCAGCAGCAGACAGGAGGCACTTACTAAAAAGAAGACCTGAAACTCTACTCCAGAATGCTCCTAAAAAAAACAATACATTCACAATTAGAAAAACCAAGATTTGGTTCATCCGCCTCTTGACTGACATTGCAGTATGTTTTTCTCTCTTCTTTGATTCCTTTCCCCATTCCTTTATTGTACATAAAGTGACTGGTGTATGTGCACAGACATAATGTGTATTTTTTTTAAACCAAATTGCAGATGTTTTGATCAACATCACATGGAGATGGGGAGGGGAAAAAAACAAACTGGTTCTGGGAAAATTCCTTTTCTTCATTAGTGGCATGCTTTTTCAACTTTTATCTTTATATTCCCGTAAGTTCTTTTGCTCTCACTGTTTTACAACAACAACAACAACAATAACACACACACACACAAATCCTTGCATATATTGTTTGGATAATCTCAAAGTTTTTCTTTTATCATTGTAAAACCAAGGATAATTTTGTAACTTTTTTGTAGGTAACTGTTACATGCAGGGCAATCTCTGTCTTTTAGTAGGGATAAATTACCATAAAGAAATTGATCTGTATAGTTTTCCTTTCAAGTGAAACATCTTATTATTTAAAAAAATAATAATGTATGCAGGCACATTTCTGATGACTGTAAGATGAGATTATCTCTGGCAGAGTGCACGAGTTGTGATGAACAGCCAGGTCTATCAGCTGCTTTTGAAGAGGTAGCACTCCTGTTCACCAATAGGCCACCTTTGTAAGCTATGGCCAGAAGCTTAATGACGGTGATGTGTTACCCTGAGACACACTCTGTGGATGGAATTATAATGAAATATTCTATCTCTGCAGTGCTTCACATCTATATTTCTCTTACAAAAATATTGCTTTAATTTTTCCTTGAAATTCAAATGATACTTTTCTCAATAAAAGGAATTGTGCAAGAAAGTCCACTGCATTAATACTAATGTTGATGATGGTCACTCATCACCAGCGTTGGCTTGTTGTTCAGTCATTTCAACTCATGCCCAACTCTTCCTGACCCCATTTGGGATTTTCTTGGCAAAGATACTAGAGTGGTTAGTCATTTCCTTTTCCAGCTCATTTTACAGATGAGGAAACTGAGGTAAACAGGACTAGGCGACTTGCTCAGGGTCACACAGCTAGTAAGTGTCTGAGGCCAGATTTGAACTCAGGAAGAAGAGCTTTCTTGAACCCAGGCCTGGGCTTCTCTAACCACTACGCAACCTAGCTGCCCCAAAGTGTTGGTTACCTTGTGATAATTTTTTTTTTCTGGCCACAGAAACTGATGAAAACCATCTACTAAGGCACGTAGGTGTTTGAAATTTGCACTGGTAAAGGGAGTACCCATACTGAATGAATGAATAAATCAATGGTTAAATGCTTACTATGTGCATAGCATTGTGCTAAATGCTAGGGAAATACAAATAAGATAGTAAGACATTATCTGCTCATAAGGAACTCACATTCTAATTGGGAGAGATGCCATATATGGAAAGTTTCAGCTGCATATGAGATGGAAAATTCTTATAGTCCTTGGGGTGCGGTGGCAAAGCAGTTGCTAATGCCCCTTCTTTAATGTCATTATTTGAAGCCACTATTCCCAGGGCTCTTGGATTCAAGATCCTAGGCTATCCGCATGAGAATCTGAGGGAAGATGGCGGACAAGGTGGTAGGATAATTTGACTGGCTTGGCACACACTATTTCCTATTTTTCCTTCAGAGTGCCTTGTGCAAGTCCCCAGACTCACCCGCCCTATGTATAAACAGAAGGTTGGCAGTCAATTGGTTAGGATGGCTAGACCTTTCTCCATAGGAGTTGCTTCCTTGGATAATAGCTGTCAGGGCTGGGATGAGAGCAGGAATAATGTTCTGGTGGATATTGCTACCTGAAGGCCCCTATGGCTATCTGCCTATTGGTGATAGTTGGTCAGCAGTGGTTCCTGGTGATGATGGGTAAATCCTCTCCACAAATATTTCTCCTCTTACTAATGGCTAGGGGGCTGGAGCATAAGCATATTTGGTGGTTCAGGGGCCACTGCTTTTTCCTAAGACTCTTGGGTTCAGACTCTAGAGCTGTCCCATCAAGGTCTGAACAAAGACAATGCTCAAGGTGGGTGGTGGTTTGACTTGCTTGGTACATGCTGCCCCTTATCTCTCCCTCAGGATGCCTTGCTTCTAGACAAACTAAGCATGCGGAGGTTTCCATCACCTCTGATTTTTTTTTATTGGAAGCCAGGACCTTGGCTTTGCTAGAAGTCTCCTCTGGTAGCTTTAATACTGATAAAATAGCAGATGGTATGTTAGATGGAAGGAGTCAACCATTGATACTTGTGTGTTTGGTTCACTGTTGTTGTTGTTCATTCATTTCGTCATGTCTGGCTTTCCATTCTCCACTGTCTCCCCAAGCTCACAGTTTGATTCACTAATTACTTCCTGTGTGTGTGCCTTGTTTCCCCCAATAGACTGTAAGCTTCTTGTGGCCAGGGACCTGTTACTTTGTCTTTTATAACACATACTGATGAGCACAGGAATAAGGATATGCATGGAATAGGGATAGGGACCAGACTTATGATTTGGCATAGGGAACTCCCAGGTAAGGAACTTCCCTCTATCAAGTCAGTTTGGCACTTTCTCAGCAACTTGCGGTGTTAGAGAGTTGTGTAGAGCACCAAGAGGTAGAGTTACCTGCACAGTATCACTGAACCAGAATGTGTCTGAGGCAAGACTCTAACCCAGTTCTTCCTGGCTTTAAGGCTAACTCTCTAACTACTATGTTTTTCAATATTTTTTCTAAAACTGAAAAATTCAAGAATTACACATACTTCTGGATACCCTTGCTAGAAGTAGACTAAATTCAATTTTCCATGAAGTGACCCATCAGTATTGCTGCTGTTCCCCTTAGGCAGCTTGCTATAGTGTGAAGAACACTGAATTTGGAGACTTTCTCTGCCTCTTATAGTCTTAGCTATCTGCCTAGGGCAGTGAGAGTGAAATAAGTTGCCCTAGATCCTCCAGTCAGTCTTTTTCATAAGTAGGACTTAAACTCAGGTCTCCCTGGCTTCAAGGCTAGTTCTATCCACTACACCACACAGCTTCTCATATACAAGGATCTTAATAAATACTTGTCACACCAGAATCATAGGCAGTTGATGGATCAAAGAAAGATGGTAGGAATTTCATACTGGAAAAGCTAATAAAAGAATAAAAACAAGAAAAGGAAAATAAACAACGGGAGGGGGCACACTGAGAAATTGCAAAAGGCTGCTGGTTAAGATGGTGTGAACGTACAGGAGGCAGTCAAGAACCTAATGGCATCTAGAGGTCAGTATGAGACAGAGAATCAGAAATAAAATAATTTAGACAGTAGACCTCATGTTTCAGTGACAAAGAAACTCTGAAATTAAAGCAATTCTAAGCCTGATAACTAGTCTCTTCTATGTTTCTTGCTAGGGCATGAGTCATTTATGGGATATGGCCTACATGTAGGAAGAGAAGAGAAATTATAAGGCAAAAGTTCTTAACCTAGAGTCCACTCTTGTCTCTGACTCTTGGTTAGATTTCAAGGGGTCTGTGAACATGGATAGGGGAAAGAATTGTATCTTTTTTTTTCATTAACCTTTGGTTTCCTTTGTGATCCTTGTGCACTTAAAAACCTTGTTTGAAAAGGGATGCATAGGCTTCACCAGATTGCCAAATGAGTCCATGACACAAAAAAAGGTTAAGAACTCCTCTTCTAGGAGGTGGTGAATTGGTAACCCAACTGGAAAGGGTGACAGATCAAATCCTGATATTTCAAGAAATATCTTTTTCTCTATCTCCATTCTCTCTCTCTCTCTCTCAATCTCTCTCTCTCTTTCTCATCTATCTATCTGTCTATACATACATATAAACAGCTAGGTGGCATAGTGGATAGAGTGCTGGACCAGAAGCCAGAAAGTCAGAAAGACCTACAAATCTGGCCTCAGCCACTAATTAGCTGCTTGGCCTGGGAAAGTCACTTAACCCTGTTTGCCTCAGTTTCATTATCTGTAAAATGAGCCAGAGAAGGAATGGCAAATCACTCCAGTATCTTTTCCAAGAAGACCCCAAATGGGGTCACAAAGAGTCAGACATGACTGAACAAGAAGAGAAAACACACACACACACACATATTTACACATACAAACATATTGTTGTTCAATCATTTCACTTGTGTCTGATTCTATCCACTGTACCACCTAGCTGCCTATGAGCCACCTAGCTGCCCTATATACATACATATACACATATATGCATATATATTTTTTCTTCAAAATAATGCATGTTTAAAAATACTATATGGTTAACCATGAGGTCATCTATAAAATGAGTCTGTGTTCAATGATCTCTAAAGTCCCTTCCAGCTGGAATATCCCACAGTTTTGTTTTTTATTTAATATGAGGCAATTGGCATGAAGTGACTTGCCAAGAGTCACACAGCTGGTGAATGTTATGTGTCTGAAGCCGCATTTGAACTCAGGTCCTCCTGACTCCAAGGCTGGTCCTCTATCCACTGCACCACCTAACTGCCCCCTATAGTTTTGTTAGTGTCTCAAATCAGATGCAGACTGTCCAGCTTCTGGACTCTCTACATGCTGTCTGAGATATTCCATCATTGTATAATATTACTTTTCAAGACAGTTTCCTATCTAAAACACTAAAAATGCTGGCCTGATAATGATATTAATTATTTACTAATTTGAGTTTAGATTGTGACCTAGATGTGGCCTGGCCTAGAGTCACTGATGCCCCTAAATAAGTGAATGTTTTCAACTTTGAGATCTACTGCTTTTGGTAACCTCTGAGCTTGTTTCACCAGTATCTTTGGCCATCTTAGTCATAGACATTATTGGGAAGAAAAGCAAAACTAGACCAAAAAAAGGCCCAGGACAGTGAGTGGGAGCACCAAGACTATCCCCACTCACGTGGTTTAATCTACCCTTCTGGTAGGAAAATAAGACCCTGACTTAAAGAGTATGCCTTCGGAAGTCAGTC